TGGGGGTTGAGGTCTTGTACATGTTAGGCAAATGCTCACTAAGTTACATCCCAGCTCATTTTAGTTTTTTGTTTTAAGATAGTCTAAGTCCCCCAGGCTGCCTCCAAATTTACAATCTTTCTGCCTGAGCCTCTGGAGTGGCTGGGATTTCAGGTCACCACACTCACTTATGTTCTAATTGGTTTCACTTCTGATAAAATGTAGTACAAATGCTATTCAAGTAACAACAGCAGAAAAGAAAAGCAAAAGTTCTTTCATGACTCTAGTAATCTCAGAAGATAAATTCAGAGGACCACTTGTAAAAAGCAACAATTTTCATTGTGTGTTCTTGTCAATGCAAGTAGCAGTTTGACACCAATATGCAGAAAGTGGGTCTGGTCTCAAACTCACAATGATCCTCCTGCTTCAACCTCCCAAAGGCTGGGATTACAGACATGCGCCACTATGCCCATCTCCATTTCACAGGGGGAGTATATTTGTTTTTGTTTGTTTGTTTTGTTGTTGTTGTGGAACCAGGGATTGAACTCAGGCCCTTGCACTTGTCAGGCATCTCCCCGGCCCCTTCACAGGGGTTTATTATAGACAGCTAAATTAGGTAGCAGTACTGTAGGAGTTAGACAGGGCTGGGTCCTTTGAGAGCTCAATGCAGAAGATAGCTGAGGCTGGAGGCTCAGTTCACTGCAGGTCAGGCTTCAAGGAAGAGAACCCTAGCTCAGGTACTTCCCCTAGGGATACACAGCAGCGATTGATATTCCAAGTAGGCATCAATCACTGCAGGGTGGAAGACCAAACTTCCTTATGCCAGCCCTTCCTGCACAGTCCTTATCTGTCCCAAGTGCCTCAGTGTGTGACTTGCTCTGTGACTTCTTTCCCATTTGATCTTCATTTAATCAATATTACCCCATTACCCTACCCACAACTATACTTGTAATCTTATTGGTTCACAGTAGTTTTGTCCCACCTCACACCCATTCTATGCTTCGCTATTGGGCCAATATCACCTGAGCAACTGTACTTGTCATCTTATTAATTGGTTATATATGTATCTGTTTCACCTTCAGCCTGCCTCACCTCGTGGCTTTGCGTAATAAATATCCTTGAGAAGTGAGGTTGATGGCCAACCCATTTGCCTGGACCCCTTCTGTCCCATTCAGACAGAAGCTTTCTTTCTCTCAATAAATTCTTCTTACTCTTAAAAAAAAAAAAAAGTAGGCCTGAGCTAGGGAATGCAGCTCAGTGCTAAAGTATGTGTTTAACATGCCAAGGGGGTGGGGAGATAGCTCAGTAGAATAAGAACTTGCCTTGCAAGCACAAGGGCCTGAGTTCAATCCCCAGCTCTGCAAAAAAAAAAAAAAAAAGCCAAGCCCTTAGGTTCCATCCCTGACACTAACTCTCTTCCACCAAATTAAAACAAAACCAAAAACAAGGCATAAGGCAAATGATTAAATGATTTCAAGTGGATTTAGGTTTTTTTTCTTTTTCTTTTTCTTTTCTTTTTTTTTTTTTTTGAACCGGGGATTGAACTCAGGCACTCAGATATATAGATATAGATATAGATATAGATATAGATATATGTTTTTGTTTTGTTTTGTTTTTGTTTTTGTTTAGGGGGTTGTTGATGAGCTGATGGATATGACCTATCCTGCCCAGTTGTTTACTCCAGGAGTCAGTGCTGAATTTCAAATGACTAAAGAATTGGGCTGTATGTACAGACTGAAACAACAGCACATCAGAATATTTTCAAAGTAAAAAAAAGCACAGAATATAGCCTGAGGTGGAATCTGCTAAGATGCATTACAAATATGCATGGAGCAGAAAAAGACTTAGTTGGGCAAATGTACACAGCTTGGGGAATGCAAATGGTTTAAGTAACATGGATATTTGTTACATTATTAAACTGATAAGAACAGATATTACACTTGATCTTAGCCAAAAGGCTGAGAAGTGATAATATTGGTTATATTATTAAGCATCGGGTCCTTTGCAAGAAAATAACTGAATCTACTTTTATCTTGTGTTTTTTTTTAAATGTCTTTCTTTAATTCCCCTCCATACACACACACACACACACACACACACACACACACACACCGTGGTAATAGTGATTCACTTCAGAACCATCTCACTGAGTTACTTCCCCTGGTCCTTTAAAATTTTTTAATTATTTATTTTGATACAGGATCTTATTAAGTCACCAAGGCTACACTTGAATTTTTGATCCTCCTGACTCAGCCTCCCAGGGCACGGAATTACAGATGTGCACCACCATGCCTAGCTCCATCCTCTGTTATTGAGTGAATAGTGTCAACAGTGAACTTCATTCATGCTCATGAACTGAACCATTGCCAGTGCCATGAATTCTGTCAGCAGTAGAAGTTGAGAAGTCAGATGTGGTGGTGCACACCTGTAATCCCAACACTGAGAGGCTGAGGCAGGAAGATGAGAAGCACTGGGAGGTTGAGGCCAGCCTGCACTATGTAGTGAGTTCAAGCCCAGTCTGAACCACATAGTGAGACCCCATCTCAAAATAACAAAAGCAAAACAAACCCCAAACCCAAATAAACAAAAATGTAGAATATTTTTGGGCTGGGGAGATAGTTCAGTAGAATAAGTGCTTGCCTAGCAAGCGCAGGGTCCTGAGTTCAATTCCTGGTACTGCAAAAAAAATTTTTTGTACTTGTTTTACCAATAATAGTTCAATAGCTCAATGGTGGTAAAGTTTATTGGGATTTCTTCGAGCTTAGAGCTGTGATTGCAAATTTTCTGAATAATAACAACCACCCTAAATTACTATTATTGGATACCAAATGAGTTTTGGAATATCTTTTGCTGTGAAATTAATAATGTTTCTTAGTGATTTTAACCTAAAATCACAAAACAAAAGAGAAGAAATGTAACAACCTATAGTAAAGTCATTCAGTTTAGCAACTAACATTGAATTACAAGCTGCACTTTTTATATTTTTATGTAAAGGCACAGTAAATTGATATAGTTCAAAATCTGTTTAACTGTAGAGCTGAACTTCATACAAGATGGGATTAATCTGCAATAGAAGGACATGCAAAAAGCTGGGGGTAGGGGCTGGGGAGATAGCTCAGTAGAAAAAGTGCTTGCCTGGCAAGCGCAAGGGCCTGAGTTCAATCCGCGGTTCCGAAAAAAAAATTTGTAAAAGGCATAAGCGCTAACAAGGCCAATGCTAACCAATTAATGAAGGGATAAACAAACTATGGTATATTCAACTATACAATGAAAAAGTATGGATGAATCTTGAAAACATGTTAAGTGAAAGAAGTCAGATGAATGTCATTTTGTACAACTCTGTTTATACAAAATGTTCAGCATATGCAAATCTATAGAGTACAAGTAGAGTAGTAGTTGCCAAGGGCTGGGAAGGAGGCAGATAGTGACTATTACTAGGTAGGGATTTCTTTTTGAGGTAATGAAAGTGTTCTAGTATTAGATAATGGTGGAGCTTGTACACCGAACATCCGAATACTCACTGAATTCTACACGAAGTTTATGTGAGTTATACCTTTAGGAAACTAAAGGAAAATGCCTGTAGTTCATAAAGTACTCATGCTGACTACTGCTGTTAAAATAAATATCGGATGTGGTGGGGCACACCTGTAATCCTAGCCTCTGGGAAGCAGACCGGAAGCCTGACAGTTGGAGCCCAATCGCGGTAGGTAGGCAATTTAGGTATTTAGTGAGACCTTGTCTCCAAAACGGCGTGGGGGCTTGGGGTGTAGCCTCCGTGCGAAAGTCCTAGGTTCAATCCCCAGTGCAGCAAAAAATAAAATCATATTCAGAGCCACACCTAAAGCCTGTATTCTGGCTTTTCGTATAATGTTTTCTTAGATTAGGTTTTATATATACATATATGTACATGTATGAATAAATATTTATAAGTGTTAATAATTTATATGACATTGAGGGCGCCACAACTAAAATCCTAGGGGAAGGAGGTTCTTGGCGGCTCAAGGAGGTCCCCCGTGCGTCTTAACCTGATGGGACCGCCCGGAAATTCGGAAGCTGCTGCCACGTGACTAACTGAACACCGGCTCAGAATGAAAAGACCCGACGCGGGCTTATGACGTCATTCCTCCGGCTCTCTTTTTGTCACCAGGTCCTTGGTTACACTTAGGAACATGCCCAAAGTGGTGTCTCGGTCGGTGGTTTGCTCAGATACTCGTGATCGTGAGGAATATGACGACGGCGAGAAGCCTCTCCATGTTTACTACTGTTTGTGCGGCCAGATGGTCCTGGTTTTGGGTGAGTAGTCGAGAACTGGAGGCAGTCTGCCGGGACCTAGACTTTGGGTCCTTTAGGGTGAATCCTTTGGCTGTGGTCTGGGACCTAGCGATCACTGAAGATTGTTCCGTTTTATCCTTTCCTTCAGAGTCTCCTCCCTACACCTTCTTGCTCCTCTGGATGGCTTTTTTTTTCTGTTTCCACCTAACCTTGCGACTTTGTATCCAGACCTTGCTCCAAAGTAACCTCCTTCACAGAAAAAGTAAATTGTAACTTTCCTCTCAATACACTCTTCAAAGGTATTGCCTCTATACTTTGTAAGATTTCTGCTGCATACAAAGTGTTGGGGATTAAGCTCAGGGTCTTGTGCATGCTAGGCAAGTGCTCGCTCCCTGAACTCCACCCTCAATCCTCTAGCTTTAAGCCCATCTCTGAGTCTTTTATAGCAAAACTTCTCAAAAAATTGTTATTTGCTCCTTCTTGACCTACCTCTGGTAGACTTTCCTTACCACCTCTCTGTAAACGATGTTTGTCAAGGTTACTGACTGAGCTCCTTATGACCAGTTCCAGTGGCCAATGATCACTGTTCATTTAATCCCCCTCTCAGTGGCATTTCAAAGAGATGACCACTTTTTTGTTTTTTTTGTTTTTTGGTTTTTTTTTTTTTGTTGTTGTTTTTCATACTGGACCTTGAAACCCAGATCCTAGGGCATACCAGGGAAGCTCTCTACCACTGAGCCACATCCCTAGCCCTATTTTTCTTGCGAGACATTCATTTGCTTCTAGGCCTCCACACATTCCTGATTTTTCACCTGCCTCACCTTTTGCCTTTTCTTAAGTATCTCCTTTCTTCCTTTCAGACTTTAAGGCATTTTAAAAAAAAACTTTTTTTTTTTTGTATTTTAGGGCAGGGTCTACAGGGTGTTCAGGGTCTCACTACTAGATCAGACTCATAGTGATCCACCTGTTTACAGCCTCCCAAGAGACTTTTAGGCATTTGAAAGGCCCTAGAGCTCAATATTCTCAGCTATTTTCACTTTGTAGGTGATTTAAACTATCCTCCAGGTTTAAGTACTATCTGGTCCCTGATGACTCCCATGTGTTTGTTTTTAACCTAAATCTGTCCTCAAACTCCCGTGCCTTTTCATCATCGTCACTTGAATACCTAATAGATCTCTAACGTCGCTTCTAAAAATTGAATTCATGATCACCTGCTCTCTGTTCTCTACTCCATGTTACTGTCAGCAGTTCTGCTTACCATTCAGTGTATTACTGGGAAGAGTAAGTGAGCTGGCATGTAAATGCCTAGTGTTCTCTAACTCCCCTCCCCTCCCCACCATCTCCATTAATCTCCAGTCATTCTGACCATTTTCTTTTCTCTATGATTCTTAAGGGGCTGGGATGATAGCTCAGTAGAATAAACACTTAAGGGCCTGAGTTCAATCCCTGGTACCACAAGGGAAAAAAAAAGTATATAATCTTTTCTCTATGATTCTTAAGATACTTTATTGCATTGTGTCTCTTTTCTATCCATGTTATAATTGTGCTTGATATTTTTTGGTGGGGGTTACTGAGACAGGGTCTTTCTTGCTTTGTAGTTCAAGCTGGCCTTGAATTCACTATGTAGCCCAAACTAGCCTAGAGCTCTAAGTGATTCTCTGGCCTCAGACTCCTGAGTGCTAGGATTACAGGCATGTGCCACCATACCTGGCTTGTACCTGATTTTATTTCATGAGTTTTCAGATTAAAACTAGAGTTTTCATTTGTGTACTACATATTTATATCATTGATCCTGACTCCTTAACACTTATCCACATTCCCAATGCCTTCCTCTTAGGCTTTGCAGGAGGCCTAGTTGTCTTTGCTAACTCTAATGCCATGTAACACACACCCAAGTGTGCTATCACACACTGTACTTATAGAAACGTGAACTGCAGTGCTGGGAAGTTCTTTTGAGCTAATATATTCTGACTCATCTTTCAAATGAGCAAAGTGTCCCTGAAAGCAGAAGTGATTTGCCAAAGACCAGCAAAATAACAGAGCTTGCTCCAAAATTAAAGTGTTCTAACATCAAGTCATTTTAAGTTGGGGAACTTGATACAGATTTCAATGACATAGTCGTTACATTAGAAAGTTACAGTGTTAAGGCCCCACTAAAAACTTCTGATTAGCTTAAGTGACCCGATCTTTTTCCATTCCTTTAGACTGTCAGTTAGAGAAATTGCCCATGAGACCCCGGGACAGATCCCGTGTGATTGATGCTGCCAAACATGCCCACAAGTTTTGTAACACAGAAGATGAGGAGACTATGTATCTTCGGAGGTAAGGAGTGGAGGTCCTGTGTAGGATTTCACTGTTGTATTGGGGTCTGTTTCTGAAGAATATAAATATTCTAACTAATGTTGAACAGCTCAACTAATTGGGTCCATTATGACATTTGTGCCAGTTTTCTAACTTCTGTTAACATTTGCAATGGAGCCATAATTTGTATGTCTCACTGGCAGGTGGTTTGAACCACTGGTGGTAAATGTATGACTGCACCATGTGTATAAACAGTGGTGTAAAACACTTGAGACATCTTGCATGTACCACTGGTGGTTCAAGCCTGCAGGAACATGTTAATGCAGCAGAATCTTTATCGGGTTTTGTTGAAAAATGGTGCTGAGATGTGATTCCATTGCCATCTGATAGTTGTAATTTGACCACAAATCATGGGTTTCAGTGAGTTGATTCAGCCTTTGTAGCATGCTGCATACCAGGCAGTGAGCTAGCTAGGTAATAGGTCTATGAATGAATAAGGCACAGGGTTTAGCATTAAAAAGCTCATGGCTGAGAGAAGAGGCTACCAGTTATGAAGGGAAGAAATACTGATGGTGTGAACAAAGGGCTGTGGGAAAACAAGTAGAAATGTGCAGTCCTCCTGCCTCAGCCTCCCTAGTGGCTGAGATTACAGGTCTGTGCCACTATGCCCAGTTAATGAATTTGACAATTTTAGATTCTACAAATAAATGAGATCATGTAGTATTTGTCTTTCTTTGTCTGGTTGACTTCATGTAACATAATATCCTCCAGGTTTATCCACATTATCACAAGTGATAGAATTTTCTTCTTTAAAACTGGACAATAATTTTTGTGAGTGTGCATCCACTCATTTGTCCATAGTCATTTAGGTTGTATACCTTGGCCTTCCAAGTTCCTAGGATTGGTGTGTGCTACCATGCCCAGCCAAGCACTCCTATGCATGTGGATATGCAGTTTTTCCACCATCATTTCTTGAACAGAGTTCCCTTTCTTTTTTATGTGTTCTTGGCACCCTGTTTTAAGATTGGTTGACTATAAATGCATGTATTTATTTGTGAACTCTATTCCTTCCATTGATTTTTGCATGTTGTCCCAGTCATATATTCCTGGGAGAGATTCCACTTGGTCATGTTGTATACATTTTTTTAGTATGCTGCTGGATTCAGTTGGCCAGTCACCTTTGAGGGCATTTTCATGTCTAGTCTTGTCTTATTTGTGTATGTGTATGGGGGCAGCAGGTGGAATAAAGCCCAGGTCCTTGTATGTGCTAAGCAATGACCATACCCCTGAACTACACACCAACCTGCATATATAATTTTTATATAATTCTTAATATTGATTTTAATTTTTTTAAAATTTGATGTCTTTGTTTTTGCTCTCAGAGTAAAACTGGCCTCAAAGAATGAATTGGGAACTGGTTTTCTTCTCTTTTTTGGTAAAGGATTTGTGAAACATTGGGCTTACTTCTTGTACTTTTGGTAAAATTGAACAGTAAAGGCTCTGGTTCCACTTTTTTCTTTGGTTACTAATTCAGTCTCTTGCTTATTAAAATCTTTTCAGAATTTCTGTTTCATTTTTGAGTGAGCTTTGGCAAGGTGTATCTTTTTATTCTAGGAACTTGTTCATTTATTCTGGGATAATTTGTTGTATTATAATTGCTCATGGTATAACTATAATCATTTTATATTTGTAAGATTGATAGCACACTCTTGTTTTTTAAAGTCCCAATAATAGTAGACTCTTTGTAATTCCCAAAGTGTGAGGTGCTGCTTTGCCTTTCCCTGCTGCCAGAAATGCCATTTTCTTTCTTTTTTTTATGAACAGAATATATTTATTGAGGGAAAGAAAGCTCCTGTCCAAGAGAGGGATGAGAGGGGGGCGTGTCCCGAGTGGGTGGGCCCCACCAAATATTTATTTATTTATTTATTTATTTATTTATTTATTTTTAGTGGAACCAGGGATTGAACTCAGGCCCTTGCGCTTGCCAGGCAAGTACTTATTCTACTGGGCCATCTTCCTGGAGAGAAATGCCATTTTCTATCAGGACTGTTAGCTTGAACATCATCTCCTCAGGCCGGGGAGAAAGCTCAGTAGTATAAGTGCCTGCCTGGCAAGTACAAGGTCCTGAGTTTGATCACTGGTACCAAAAACAAACAACCCATCATCTTTTTTTTTTTCTTCTTCTTCTTCTTCTATATTTTAAGGATGGATCTACAGGGTGTTCAGGGTCTCACTACTAGATCGGACTCGTAATGATCCACCTGTTTACAGCCTCCCAAGAGCTGGGGTTACAGGCGTGCCCCACCACGCCCAGTATCAATCACCATCTCAGCACACCCCGGGGGTAAGGCTGGCACAGCAGGCCTGGGGATCAAACCCCTGGCCCCTGCACCTGCTTGCAGGTGCTTTAATCCGCTGAGCTACTTGGCTGGCCCTACCGTCATCTTCTCATGAAGCCTTTTGTCATAGTTTGGGGTTTTTGCAAGGGGAATAATACAATACAGGACACATTTTATAGAATTATTATCTAATTGTCACCCAAAGAATCATATACAAAGAAAGTTCAGGAAATCTGTCCACACACTAAAATCCAAAGAATCTAGTTGACGGTCTGGATCCTAATATCCTGCATAAGTCCAGCTGAAAATCTAGAGCCCATAACAATGCTTCCCAGAAGTCTTAACTGGAGGCCTAGAGCCTATGACAAAGTCTCCAGCAGGTCTGCTGCATGGATCTGTGCTAGCAGGCAGAGGGATCTGCACTGGAGCCAGGAAACAATGCTTAAAAGTCAGAACCAGAGCTCCCCCACATAGTACCACAGCCATCCTCAGCCACAATGAGGTCCCAAGATCCTTTAGCAATGAGGAAAGCTGACTTCCCATCAGGAAAGCCAATGTGACAAGCTTTTGCAGCAGGCTGAGCACTGCACCATCTTCCCTGTCGGAGCCAGGAAGCAATGTTCAAGGTGAGGACTAGAGCTCCCCTAAAATGACCCATAGTCATTCTGAGCATCAGTGAGGTCCTGAGCTCCCCCTGAGACTAGAACAGCTAAGTTCATCAGGAAAGCCAGCATGACAAGGTCACCCAGCAAATAGCCCAAGACAACCAGCAGCTTCCAACAGCTCCAAAACAGCTTCTCCAAACAGCTTCCCTAACAGGCTTTCCAAGTTCCCAATAGCCTCCAGCTCTTATGCTGCTGGCAGCAATCTTGAGGTGGGCCTCCCATACCTAGCACCATGCTAGCTCAGTTCAGCTGGGTGTAACAAGTTGCCCACCAGTTGGCAATCCACCACACCTTCCATGGAAGCCTACAAACTTTTCCCACTCAGGTACTCCCTCCTGAGTGTTGCCATTACACCTTACATTTTCCTCCACTGAAGAATTTACTCCTTGATTATAATTGTCTTCACTAAATTGAATTTTTTTAATGTATTTATTTAGTACAGGGTCTCACTACACAGATTGGACTCAATAGTGATCCTCCTGTTTTCAGCCTCTTTTTTTTTTTGTGGTACCAGGGATTGAACCTGTTTTCAGCCTCTTAAACAGTGGGATTACAGGCACGTGCCACCACGCTCAGTCTCAATCTCAGGCTCAGCCTGCCCCAGGGGTAGTGTCGGCAGGGCACACCAGGGATCAAACCCCTGCTGCTGTGCTCTGCCTAAACAGGCACGTTAGTCTGCTGAGCTATCTGGCCAGCCCTCCATTCAACCGCTGTTTATTGCATATATATTTCGCATCCATTACGCTGGTCAGCTCTAGGAATAGAGTGATACAGTGATCCAAGCTATGGTCTCATGGACAAGAAGACAGAAAATTAGTAAACCAAAAAAAAGCAAGTAATCATGATTGTGGGGCCAGCCAAATAGCTCAGCAGATCAAAGCCCCTGCAAGCAGGCACAGGGGCCAGGGCTTCGATCCCCTGGCCTGCCATGCCAGCCCTGCCCCTGGGGTGCGCTGAGATGGCAGTTGAGACTGGGCGAGACTGGGCATGGTGGCACACGCCTATAATCCCAGCTCTTGGGAGGCTGTAAACAGGTGGATCACTAAGAGTCCCATCGAGTAGTGAGACTCTGAATACCCTGTAGAGCCTTCCCTAAAATACATAATTGTGGAAAGCCATACGAATGAAACAAAGGTCTGGTACAGAGAATCTCATGAGGTCCTCTTAGGAAAGGTGGTCAGGGAAGACCCCTGAGTAGGTTATATGTGAAGTGAGACCAAGAAAGATGAGAGTGGGATGGCCATGGCAGCTTGGTGAGGGCATTCCAGGCAAAGGGAGGAGCGTGGGCGGGGGATGACCACAGTGTGGCAAGTGTGCATTTGCCGAAGGGACCGAAGGAAGACTGGTGTAGCTGGTGCTGAGGGAGGCACTGTTTGGGATGAGGCAGGGGCCTGCTGATGTACTCACTTGGTACCTGCGGGCCATGGGAAGGACATTAGTTTTTTTTGTTTTTTTGCAGAATCGGGGATTGAACTCAGGCCCTTGCGCTTACCTGGCAAGAGCTTATTCTACTGAGTTGTCTCTCCAGCCCCAAGGACTTTAGATCTTGTTCCAGGTGCCTAATGGCACCTGAATTTACCTCTATAGTATGTATGTATGTGTGTATGTATGTATGTATGTATGTATGTATTTATATTTATTTTACTGAGAAAAGAAGGTAAAGTAGCAATGAAGCACTTCCAAAACATGTTCAGACAATTGCCAGATGTGCCGGTAACTATTATTATGGACTATTAGACTATATTGGGTTATTTTGCTGAATTCAAGTACCTAAAATCTTTGCACTGGCATCAAGTATGAAAAGGTCCTTTAAAGACTTCTCCAAATACAGCTTCTCTATAGTATTTAGAGAATGATTTGAAGTAAGACAGTAATGGAAGCAGAATTATAATACATGTTTAAGAATTTTGTTTTAAATATAAATTCAGAGTGAAGAAGATTTAACTAAATATGGCATATACACTAAAAAAATAAAGGTTGTTTTGGTAACAAAATCTAAAATTTCCACATGGTGGAGAAATATCCAGTAAATGACAAATAGGAATACTTGTCTTAATAGTGTCAAATGTCCTTAATATAAAATTTGAAAGTAACCCAACAAACAAAAGGTATGAACTGACTGTTCACAAAATACAAAGGGCTATTAAATTTATGAAATGAGGTGTGTCTTTTCTTTTGATTTTTTTTTTGGGTGGAACTGGGGATTGAACTCAGTTCCTTGCGCTTGCCAGGCAAGTGCTTATTCTACTGAGCCATCTCCCTGGCCCCTTTTGATTTTTTGATTTATGGAATTCTGCTTTATTCAGGCACAGAAACAAGTACCTATTTGAAAGAATAAGACCATTAGTTAGTTACAAAATTTAATTATAGCAATCAAAGAGTGATTATTGGTGGAACCAATCCACACTGACAGCTCTGAGATATCTTCACTCTTAAAAATGAAATACAAACTAGATCTCATTTTTCACACATGCAGTTGGCAGGAATGCAGTTTAGTAACATAATGTTGTAGGGAAACAACTCTGAATATATGAGTATAAATTGGTTTTCAAGTTCTGTGGGGAGTGACTTGGCCGTGTCTACTGAGTTTAAAATGTACACTCTTCTAGGAATTCATCCAACAGGGAAAAGACATTTTGGTTCTACGTAGAGAGGAACACAGTGCAGTTAGTATAAAGACTGAAGTAGCTATTGATTGAGTGATGTGGGAGAATCGGTGTGTGTGTGTGTGTGTATGCTTTACAAAGACTGGATACATTTTTTAGTGATTAATAAAGGTAGAGAACAGTGGAAAATATGGTAGATGCATTTAAAAAAGGAAAAACGTTCTTTATGTACTGGGCTTCATGATAGAGTGCTTGGTGAACATTTCAAGGTCCTGGATTCCATCATCAGTACTCCTCTTTCCCCTAAAAAAATTCCAGCTGAATGTAGTGGTGGTACATGGCCCAGAATCCCAGCATTCTGGGAGGCTGAGACTGGAGGATTGCAAGTTTGAACCCAGGCATGGCAATTTAACTGTCACAGAAACATATCTGTGGATGTAGCTTAGTGGGAAGTCTTGAGTTCAATCTCTCAGTGTTCCCTCCTGCCACAAAAAAAGTAGAGAGCTTGCCTTGTGTGTACCTCTCATGGCTATTTTGCTGTGTATACATTGTCTGTGTCTAAGGGGAACCCAAAAAATGGAAGCATTTTGCCTCTGAGCAGGGTAAGCAAGTGTGTAGAGGATAAGTGGAGAGGGTATTTGCTTTTCAGTTTATACTCATGTATGTACTTGTGTGTGTGTGTGTGTGT